AAGTTATGCCCGTTTTAGTAAACCGCATTGTGTCCAATCCGAGATTCCTGTCCAGCATATTCGAGTAATAATTTCGTGCTTCAAACGTTATCGTCGAAACCCCAAATTTTTATATGTGATACATATATGAATGATTTAGTCCCTGTAAAAATTTCATAAATTTTAATAGACATTTGCCAGGCCAAAGATATTTTTCTTTCACTGTCGTTAAATCCGTAACTGTCGATTTGTCTTCAAATCTTTTACAAAATCAAATTTTGCTACATTTGCCTAAGTTATATAGATAACTACCTTCCATTATACTTTTATATATTTAAAAAAAATAGATTTATAAAATACTTTGGCTAGTGTCAAAGGGGTCAAACAAAAGAAAAAACGAATATTATTTTAACGCTTCAGTTTCCGAGAATTCGGGGCGTTACATCGTTTGTGCTGGAAATTTTTAGTGTGATGCTTTAGATCTGTTGACATTGATAGTTGTGGAGGGGGGGCTTGATCCAATCAAAGAAGGATGTTAGGTGCTTGATACTGAATGCAGAGATGAGCTAAACCAAGAATATGATTGGGATGATAGTTTTTCCTATGCAAATCAAGATACAATTTGGTTACAAGTGGAGGAAACCATGACATACAATGTTGGACGAAATGTAACTACTTCTGATGTCAATAATACAACTAAATCACATGATGGTGTAAATGAAGAGCAGCAAAGAGTAAAACTGGATAATGTACTTGTCGATTCTGACTATGAAACAGATGAAGACCTTGTTGACAATGCTGTAGTTGATCATCCAAAAATGAATGTGGATTTTGGATTTGGTTTTATAAATGAGCTGGAGGTAAGGGATTCAGACACATATTATATCGACTCAGATGAACTAAGGAGTTTGGATAGTGATGACGAAGAAGAAGAAGGAACTTCCCAAAAAAGAATAAGGAAGAAAGTATTCAATCCTAGGACAGATATGGAGAATCCAATATTCAAAGTTGGTAAGTAATGAAACTATAATGATTGCCTTCAATTTTCTAACTAAATTTTTACACTACTTCTTCTGGATTGGCTGGGCAAATATTTGAGTCAAAGAAGGTTTAGAAAGATGCTATTACCGAGCATTCAGTGAGGCATAATAGGGGAGATCAAATATTTGAAGAATGATGCTAAGAGGTTGAGAGCTACTTGTAAACAAATACGCTCATGGATTTTGTATACAACAAAGCAAGAGGATAAGTTAAGCTTCGAAATTAAGACTTCTAAAGGTGTTCATAGTTGTAATATGGTGTACAGAAATAAGAGAGTAACTTCGACATACTTGACAGGCAAGTATGCTTCTGATTTCAAGGCTGAACCTAACATGACATTTGGTGGATTTATGGATAAAGTTAAGAAAGCCAATTTAGGAGACATATTTGTATGGCAGTTCTATAGGACAAGGGAAAAAGCAATGGAGAAGATAAGAGGGAGTGTTGTATAGCATTATAGGGTATTAGCTAACTATTGTCAATAATTAAGGTTGACAAATGTTGGGAGTACAATTCAATTGGTAGGGCGTGCAGGAGAATTCAAGAGGCGTTACGTATGTTTAGGATGATTAAAGGAAGGTTTCATTAATGGATGCAGAAAAGTGATTGGGATGGATAGTTGTTTTCTCAAAACAAAACATGGTGGGCAGTTATTAACTGCAGTTGGCATTGATAGCAATAACGGAATGCATCCAATTTCCTATGCAATGGAAAAGACTAAGAATGGAGAAAATTGGAGTTGGTTTTTGACATTGCTGAGAGATGGCTTAAGGATTCATAACTCCCATGGATGGACATTCATTTCGGATAAACAGAAAGGGCTGGTAAATGCAATTGGATAACTCTTTGAACATGCAGAGACTAGAACATGCGTTCGTCACTTGTATAATATTTTAGTGCTGCTCATAAGGGCCCAGCTTTAAAAAATTATTTGTGGGATGCAGTAGGAGCACAACAATTCCAAAATGGTTAGAACACATGCAAAGAATGCTGGATTTGGACCCAGCAGCATATGGATGAATTGAGTTAAAATCAGCTTCTCGATGGACTAAATGACACTTCCAAGAAGGGACTAGATGTGACATGTTATTGAACAATCTATGTGAATCTTTCAATAGTACATTACTTAATGCAAGAAAGCATCCAATATTGACGATGCTAGAAGAAATTATGGTTTATTTGATGAAAAGGATTGTAATTTGAAGGGAAGCTTGTGAAAAATGGAATGCAGAAATTGGACCTAGAATTCAAAAGATATTAAATAAGAATGGTGAACTCGCAAGGAGAGAGTATGTAGATTATTCCGGCAACGGGAAGTTCCAAGTCAGGCATAACATTGGAACCCTAAATGCAGTAGATATCAAAAGCGAAAAAAACTTGTTCGCGTCTAGTTTTGCAGTTGATTGGGATCCGTTGTTGCCATGTGATTGCATCTTTGTCTAGTTTTGCAGTTGATATTAGTTTAGCCACCTTTGATTTGGATAAAAATTAAATTTTTAGTATATTTTGACATAAAGTGGTGAAATGTATGGTCCAAGCTTGATCAAAAGTTGTAAATCTCATAAAATGTATGATTGAAATAAGTTTGAGAAGAAATGAGTTCTAAAAAATGGGGTTCAAACAAAGACTTACTGAGAAAAATATGTTTGATGTTCTCAACTTATTTAAAAGAATAATGTTATCTAGCATTAGTAGAGATCAACAATAATCTAGGTAACGGTGTCCAATTACATATTCTACTAGTCAAATAGTCGAAAATTGACCATTATGATATTATAATGTTCAAATGGATGGAGATGGTTTGTTACAATGAAACCCATGTTTTAAAAAAATATTGAACGACTGTGACACGGTTGTTACAATTTAACTACAAATGAACAACTTGTTCTATATTTTAAATGAATAATGTTATTTGTAAATCACCGATTTTTTACATATTGGTGAAGTGGCCAAAAAAGTGGGGAAGTTTTATTTTTGGATCGAATAATGCATTTGTCCATGAAAGGACATTCCGAAAGCGTGCTAGAAAATGATGTATAGTAAAATGATTGGATGAAAAAGTTGGTTTTGCTTTAAATTGTCTTATAATAAAGTGTTATGTGACATTATGTAACATATTATGTAAAACATGAAGTTCATATAGTAAGGTCCTTTATTTTTTTAATTAGTTAGTGAAATTGTGACTCAATCATATCTTGCAACATCGTCTTTGATATACAAATCTGTAATTTATAATGTAAATGTAACACAATCGATATTAAATAAATTAGAATATGTTACTATGACTTTTTGTTATTCAATAAATAAAACCAACCAAAAAAATGCGTGACTTGTTCTAATAAAGTAATGCTCGAAGACTTCAAATTACATGGAGAAAAATCAAAATTAGTGAGTCAAATGTAGATCTTATTTAATACTGCAGAGCACATGGTAAAAGTCAAATGTAGAATCAATGCGAAGTTTCTTCGTAATATGTTTGTCAATTATTCGAGTAGTTAATTATAAATCCAGCACATCTCTTTATTTAAAAACGTTGGTCTAATAAAATAAGATATAGAACTCATTCACCAAATTTGACATATTCCTTAATACCACCTACTAATTTGAGGTGTGATAAACAGAGTTATTTCCACACGGTGAAGAAATAAATTTTTTATAATTAAAGTTAGTTTCCACCAAATTCGAAGATCAACGTGGTTATTATATCAATCATACTACAGTGATATAATCATCGACATAATGTCACATGACACTTCATTATTAGATTTTTTTTTTAATACAATCAACTTTTTCATCGAATTATATCTTGTCAACACCTATTATGTCATTTTATCTGTCAACCATTTTCTGATAAAGTGGCATCACCCTTATTATATCCTAATAATTTGACTTCAAGATAACGTTATCAGCTTGATATGGGACCGTGTGAATGCCAAGTCTGGAGCATCTTATCCATTATTTACGAGAGATGCTATAGAGCCCGGGATTAAATCTTGGGCTCCAATCCAGGATCGAGGTGGCGCATGCCCCGGCCCTTGATCTTTAATACATGGGGCCCACGCCATTTAACATCAGGGGCCGAGGTGCTGGATTGGAATCCCAGGCTCTACAACTTTTATGATTATTTATCGTGTATTTACGTATGACCAAACATAAACCATTGGCCACGTAATACAAAAAGTGTACGTACAGAAAATGTGTTTCTTTTGGATGAGTTGAAGACACATCAGCTTCTATCTTCATTTTATTTTAATTGGATTTTCCTCCCATGAACTCTTGCTATCTCATATTTACACCCTTCCATATTTTTGTAAATAGCAAAACACACTCTAAAATCTCAATACAATACATTATTAAATGGAGAATCGTGTCCTTTGATTAGTCGTGTAGATGTACAAGATGAATTTTCGAAGTGCGCTAGAGAATTTCTGAACGAAGTTGTGACCATACTTAATTACGGTCGTAAAAAAAATAAAAAAAATAAAAAAATCCACAATTGAGTTTCAAGGCAATGGTTCCCGACACGTGATGAAAGATTTAGCTTCGATGGGGTGTATGATCATTTGAAAAAAAATGATAAATACATTATTATAAAAAAGTTTTCAACAAATCAAAACTTATGTCTATAAAAAAAAAAATGCTATCTAATTTCTGTGATATTGAGTACCATCCTATGTGGCACTTAAGGACACATAATGATGATCATCCTCAATGAGTGACAAATATCATCACTCATAGAAAAAGCATGATGGGCAAAACCCTATAAGAACATGAACTAAATGCTCAAACTACAAGAGCTTGGGGGTCCTCTAGGAAAGTATAAAATAATAAGGACCAAAAAAAAAATTCTAGAAAGTGGAGGGATATACTCCCAAAGCATACCCCAAAGGAAACGTCCCATTCATTTCGGTTCAAATCCAAAGGCCACGGGTCGGATAAGATCGTCAAAATTGACCCCACACCAAAATTAAAATTTGAAAATGTGATGTAAACACGTCATCCTCTCTCTGGCTCTCCCAATACCTCCATTGAACATTTCTCTGTCCATTTCTTTCATTTCATTATTGCAATCAACCACATTATTAGAGGTATACTTTTATAAAAGCCATATATATGCCTATCACATTTTCTGGCCAAGTACCCATTCAAGCGAAACCCTTCTGAATACTGCTTTTTCACATTAATCATCTAAGAATCAAGAATTCGTGATTTTTGCTTTGTGGGTTTCCAAAGTCTTGGGATTTTAAGATAAAAAAAATTGTGGGAATGGCTGCTGCTGTGCGCTGTGGTTCTGCATCAATTTCTTGGATTCAATTGAAGGATTCTTCATCAAAGAGGACTGCGAAGAATAGATTTAGGGTTTCTTCTTCTGCTGTTAGTGATCCGTACAAGACTCTCAAGATTCATCATGGTGCCTCTGAATCTGAGGTCAAGAAAGCATTTAGACAGCTTGCTCTTCAGGTATTTTTTTCATTTATCCTCAATATTATTATTATTTTTATCAATGAATTAAAAATATGTTGTTTTTTCTTGGATTTTTCTAGATTTTTTTTTTTTATTTCATTTACCCTCAATAACAAATTCTTTTTTCTAGAAATTTCATTGTTATTAACTTGTTGATTTCGATTTAATTTCAGTATCATCCAGATGTCTGCAGAGGAAGCAATTGTGGCGTCCAATTTCACCAAATTAATGAAGCTTATGATGTTAGTAAATTTATCAACTATTTTAGATATTCTAATGCACAAAAATTATGAGCCATATTTTGTACTTGTTATGGTTGAGCCTATGTTTAGTTTTGAAAAATGAATAATAATACTTTTACAGAACGATTTATATACTGATAAAGAATAGAGGCTTCTTTTATTCAGTTAAAGAAATTCTAACTTAATTATATTTTACGACGTCATGTGCATATAAACCATTATGTACATGTAGTACAATCATCAGAAAATAATGTTTATATTGATGTGTTGCAGGTTGTGATGAGTAATTTGAGAGGAGAATTAAGCAATCCAGAGATGCAGATGTACGACATGGCAGGGGACGATGAACAAATGAGAGGGATGGACGATCAAGATTGGGATCTTTGGGAAGAATGGATGGGATGGGAAGGAGCGGGAATCCGCGACTACTCATCCCATATCAACCCCTACATTTGATCTTAACTGTTAATATTTTGTTTGTGAAAGTGGAAGCCCACGTCTTCATTCTACTGAATTAAGATGTTTGAGGTTGTTTGTACAGAATTGTGCATCCGTTCTTGTATTTGTACATAGTACAATCAGAATATGGTATCATATCCTTAATTCTTGCTCACTGTGCTTTGTAAAATCTATGTAAATAAACATTAGTTAATCGAATAATTGATTTCCTTGGGAATTTCCTAGTTTTAATAGTTCACTCTTCATGGTACCTTTGCTAATGTTTGAATCCTGTCACTCAACTCCAGCAACCCCAGCCCGAGTTTTGCCTTCATAGAGATCCTGGCCATGCTGGCCTTTGGCCTGGGAGACATACCGGACCAGCATTGGCCCTACACGGGGCAATTCAGGAGAGTATGGACAGGAAGTATTTCCCCTTTTCCTGCTCTGGTTCGTCTGAACTAACAATAAATTCTACGGTTTGAAAAATGCAACCATGGTGTGCGCGGTACAAGAACATTTGTTGACTATTTTCGCCCATAATAAAGACTTTTGCAAGTATTTTACTTTATAATAACAGATTTTCTATATTATGAGAAGATGAAAACCAATACCCAGATTTTTGCAACGTGACAAAATGTTGTCGAAGCAAGAGACAATTATTCTTCATTTAGCTATGGATGAACCATCAGAGAGTCTTTCGGTTCTTTTGTCAGCCTTTTCCATGTAATCTTGATGAGATTGGTGTTTTGCTCCTGAAAGGAAAAAATAGAAAATAAAATTTTTTCAAGTCGCTGTTTCATTATAAGCAGCATATAATAATCTTGAAAAGAAGGATACATGCACAAAATATGAAAGATCCTTGCAGAAAACCATGAGATATCGGTTACATCTTTCAAAATTTTGTTTCTGTTTTCTTTTCTTTTCAATTCAAGTTCTTTTGTATTTGTTTTCTTTGTGGTGGAGAGGAAGAGGTGAAGATAGCAACATGAAGAGCTCTGAACCAAATCAGTTTCAAATTATACCCAAATGAGTCTGATAAAACCCATTTATAAGAATGTACACACCCTAAAGAACAGAGGATTGGGTCAGACAAAGGAGTAGATAATGACAACGAATATGCCTCCTTCAACTGAGGCAACAGTTTTAGAAGACCTTCTCGGTTGTATTTATGCACTCGTGTTATTTTGGGCCACTCTCAGCAAACTTGCAGCGTGCAAACAAGTCCAAAATTGAATTATACATGAATGAGCACATTCACAAATCAAATATTTCAAGTGCAGGAATTCCCTCAACCAAGCCAACCTCAATCGATCCACTGACCACAGTTACGTAATCTGATTCATGAGATAGGCATCTAATCTTTATATTTTAAAACCAATGTAGCTTTAGTAAACAGTAAACACCAACTCAGCTTTTACAATTAATAAACATGAAGCAATTAAGGCCCCTTAGTTTGCAAAGGAAGATCCCATGCTTATCGGGATTTAGATAAGCCATATATATAAGAAAAATCAGAGTAATGCCAAAACCAACAGGAAGAAGGACCAAGTCACAGTGAGATTTCACTTGGTCTCACTCAGCATTTATCGCATTTTTCCTTTCCTTCCTGGCCGAGAAAAGAAAGGTGCCAGCATTATTTTCTCTACCTCTCTCCATCCTTCTACATTTCTACACATCTCACACTACTTAAGGTCCTCTCCCTCCCGAGTCATGACCACAAACTCTTTTTTCAACTCCCCCTACTCTTGGCTAAGTATCATTATACCTAAATAGAATGACAGTGTCACTCTTATACAACCCCCCCTTGGGCTACTATTTTACTTCACTATTGTTCTTAGCATTCCCCCCACCCCACCCCACCCCCCCTCTTCGAGGGGAAACTGGATTGTTCAAATATAGAGAAAGTATAGTCTTTTGCGTTCACTGTTATTTTAGAAGTTTGGAGATTATCAATACAAAATAAAGCATCAAACTCTAAAATTGGGCGCCGACCTCGATCACCATTCACCAAAGAAATAAATTGATTATAACCTTTCAAAAGAAGTAAAGACTTCTGTGATAATATTTCGTGCATATGCATCAAGCTAATTGGGCAGCTCAAAGATCATGCACTGCTTATTCAGGATTGCAGATGTGACTTTGACTTACTTCCAACAAAATTGTTTCAGATAACATTGTCATAAAAGTGTATTGACGATGATAAATTTATTTCACAAGGCGTTCTTGCCTCGCTCTCATGGTCTTAACTACCATTCAAATTGAACTATTCATTTAAAAATAGCCATCAAATAAAATACTGCAAAAGTAACAAGAACAGCTTCAAATATCAAAATATTCATTCCAACTGATACTAATCATAGAATTATTCCCAAAAATCCAGCTTTGTTAAATATATTTTTTAAAATTTCCTTCCGTCCAACCAAAACTCCTCTCATAAATTTCATTTCTGGTAGCAGTATTAGAACTCAGTAACGAACCAATAGCCACACATATATTAATTGCATAAACAGAACGCAGCAGCTCCGCAAAGAAGTGCCAAATTTTAACCAAATTTTCAGATTCACATTAAAAACAGTGAAAAATGAGGATACCCAAAACCCATATCGATCTCACGAGTCTTAAAAAAATGTTTAAAGAAGACATACCTGAGTTTTAACCAAATTTTCAGATTCACATTCAAAACAATGAAATTGATAAACTTAGCGGAATACAACTCTGAAATAGGTAAAGTTACGAAAATCAACTCTAAATCCTAATAGCAACAGTAAAAACGAAACAAACCATCAAAACATTAAGGGGTGGTTCTCCTTGATGTTTTGATGTCATTTTTTGTTTTCGATTTTTAAATACAGTGAAAATGATTCTCTTTCCCATTTTCAAAAATAAATTTTTGAAAATAATAAATAAATAAATAAATATATATATATATATATTGCACGGAAAACTCAATTTTCAAACTGAAAACACGGGAAACAACCAAATTAAAAACCAACCCTTATATCTCTCTCTCATAGTCTTAGATAGTCTTCTCTCTTTCTCCCGTAGGTTTCCGCCTTTCGCAATTGTTCTTTAGGTCTATGCTCTGCCTTCCCAAACCAAAACAGCCTCACTCAATTCTTCAACTCCCACGAATAGGTGCGCTCTTCGGTTCGGCTCCTCATATCGATTGAGAAATTGCGTGAAGAGGTGAAAATTTCTGTCAAAATTGCACTGAATCTTTTAACTATCAACTTCACAATCACAACTCATGGTCAGTGTAGGCTAGGTAATTTGGTGTTTTTTCCTGTTTATATTTCAGGTATTCTTTGTTTAATACTAATTCGTGGAAAATCAATTCACTATTTGAATGATTACGTTACTTGATCTCTTTTGATGTCATTAACTTTTCTTGATTTGCAATTTCGATTCATTTAAAATTGAGGGATTTAAGGGATTCATTTTGATTTCCATAGTTCATACGATAATTAGGGTGGTTGCATTTTTTATTTTTTTTTCCTGGTAGTAAGTAGAGAATAGAGCTTCTTTATGAGCCTCTGCTTGGAGCATATTTAAATTCAATTAAAATTTCTTTTTAATTAATTACATACAACGGAAAAAAAAATGGAATTGATTGTCTTCATGGGTATGTTTTCCTCCATATGCAGGTTGTCACTCTTTATTTTTGATAGAAATGTTAATTATCCTGTAAGAATCCTAGTTTGAGAAATGTAGGCTATATTGACAATTTAGATGAGAATAAATATTGGTTCAAAGAACAAATTTGGCTATCTTTTAGGGTGATTACTGTAGAATCCCTTTATCTATGAAAATATTGATTGAAAAGTAGACGGGGGGAAAAACAAAAACCAAAATTTGCATTTTGTTTTCAGCAATTAGAAAAAAAAAACATATTATGTGGTGTCCAAAGTAAGTGTTGTTGTAGTCTTGGAGATGTTTGTATCAAGGTTATTTCGTGGTGAATGAACTTTTGACACATGCTCTAGATAATGTCTCTTCCTACCTGTTACTTGTTAATAACATAGTTTTAATTGACGAAGCTAGGTGGAGAATATAGTGCATGTTAAAATTTTAGAGAAGATGTTTGGATTTAGAAGTTTCTTTACTAGAACTAAAACATAATACATTGATTACATAGTTTTAATTGACAAAGCTAGGTGGAGAATATAGTGCATGTTAAAATTTTAGGAGGGAGGAGAGACCAAAATAATATAATTTGACATTGTTTTTAAGGATTTGATTTCATTAGATCTGTTCATAGACTCAGGGTTTAGTTGAACAAATTGGTGTAAAATAATTCATGCAGCTAATTTGAATTTAGACAGAGTGTAACTGAGTACGAACATGCTTGGCGTGTCATAATTGAAATTTTTGATCTGCTTTCTTAACCCGAATATCAGATTTGAGTAGGCTTACTGGATGTGTCGACAATGTTCTTAAGCTAGTTATGATCACCATTTATGTGGCACTCCTGAGTCAAATTTTAGAAGGCAAAATGGCTTAACAAAAGTTCCTAAGCATCACTAAACTCAACTCAATATATATATTTGAGAGACCTTAGAAGGAAGCCCCCGCGCGAGCAGTGGTGGACGAAGCGGAAGCGAGAACCGAATTGAGATATTGTGCCAAGATTCTCATACCATTCAAAATTTTGACACGTATCATATTATGACTGTTATTGTAAATGTTTTGTATTATCAATTATGATATAGTTGTATGATGACTTTGTTGTGGGGAAGCAATAATGGAAGTTCTAATTCCTTGAAGTTATAAAGTAACATTAAATTTCTCCCTTTACATCCTAAATCTGATTTCATGGTTTGCTTTTTGCTGGCAAGCTGATGTTTCATTGATTTATTTAATTTTTAATTAAAAAGTTACTGTATTAAACTCTTGCTTATTATTTTAGGGTAATTGGCACAAAACGTTCCTACCTTTCAAGTCTATTGTGGAAAACGTTCCTACGTTTCATTTTTTGATATTTTTACCCTTATTTCAACCTTTTGTTGCGCTGAAGGTCCTTTTCACTGTTTTGGAACGTAAAATGACAATTATACCCTCTTATTTAAAACAAAAAAAAAGAGAAAAATTCAAAACAAATTGCAATCCTACCCCTAAACTTTTCAAAAAGTGCAAATGAGCCCCCAATACTTAAAATATTGAAAATAATTAAAAAAACACTTTCTCTTCTCTTCTTCCCCTCTCCATGGCCACCTTTCAAGCCAAAAAATTCTAGCCAACCATCGTCCAAA